CAACATATTTAACTTTTTAAAACAACAGTGTCTTAGCCATTTTTTCGACCAAAATGTCGTTTTAAAGACTTCAGGTCTGGGTTACAATAATGGAAAATAGGAACAACAAAAAGATGTAACTGGACAGTGGCTTATTCTTAGTTAACTCACTTATTTGGCAATCTTTTCCCGTAAACCCGATGGCGAAGACACATACATAACTATTGGTGTCGTACTTTGAAACACATGTCCCACCATTCTGACAAGGTCCACTGCGGCAGTGGGACTAACGAGCGAAAAAAATTCGAAAAAGGAGTCAGCAATAAGGTGAGCAGGATGAGCCCCCCTCCCCCCCTTCCAGTGAATTTGCTGAACCCCTTTCCCCCCTAGTGAGTTGGCTGAACTCCCTTCCCTCCCCTCCACCTCTTTGTCATGCAAGTGATCACCGAAGGATCACATTCAGCAATATCCTAATCATTCATACTTCTGCCTAATTAATTAAGAGAGTGTCTCTGTAAAAGCGGTCCGGTCGATTTTGCTTGAGAGACAGATTTCCTTCATTTCTAGTGTGTCATAAGGCATTCATGTGCCCATACTAAAACCACAATCCGTGTGATCGGATTTCCTTATTTTTCAAATTTTTACGGAAATGAAATTTCACTCGAGCGAAGGCCTGTCGTGACACTTTTCAAGACTTTAATTTGAGACAACTTTGGAGGACAATTTAAAAAAAACTACGGAGCTTGGCAAAAAAACAAATACCAGAGCCATGTATATTAATTCTATCTTATCCATTGAGGCGACTTTCGTGGACATCACATTTCAATCAAAGAAACAGGAAGACTTGAATGACACCTTGTCGGTTTGCTCAAGTCACACACGCGAAAACCAATAAAATTTAAGGTAAATTTTTGAAAAAGTGAGGCGTTCTTAACTGATCCAACTAACATAGCTAGGAAGAACACGCCATAGAAAAGATAACTACAGAAAAAAACTTGCGGCACGACCTTTGGGAAAACTTTATAACTCCACGAACTTACCTGATTTTTGGCAATCTCCGAGTTTGGCCGCCATTTTGAAGGACTTGTCAACATGAAGCGTAACAGATATAAACCAAGCAGGTAGATCTAAAACCGTCTGAAATACATACGGAAGCAATTCAAATGAACTTTTCTTTCAATTCAAGCGGTAAAATTTGCAATTGTTTGTTAAACTTACCATTCCTACATTCCCAAGCGACCATTTCTTCCAACAATTCAAACACTACAACTAGTGTTCGAATTCCCCTCGTCGATTCCACCATAAGAAATAACCTGTGTCACCCAAGCTTCGACTCGAATGTGAAGTACGAATCACATAACACAACTGCTTCATCTTCGAGGCAATATCAGCCTGGTTTTTTTATTTTCTGATCGACAAGAACGGCGATCATGAAGCGATTGCCATGTTTACCTGATAAACGAACGGCTGACCAGCCGCTAAGTGAAAACAGTACGGCTCAGTGGTGAGGGGGAGGGTGTGGGGTGGGTGCGGGCAGATTATCAGAAGATTTTTGGGAACATTCGAATATATTCATTAAAGCATCATAATATGCATTACGATTCTCAGTCTTTGTGCAAAAGCATGCTTTGTGTTGCAGATCTAGACAACTTTTGTTTTGCTCCGGGTATTCTTTTTCTCTTTAAATACATTTCGTTCCAAAAAGGATCGGCATCAGTTCATATATTTATAAACAAATCTTTACCA